TACAGCCTCACAATCACGCTGTACTTGCAGGTTCCTTGCAGCTGCCCAGACATCATCATTAACCACTTCCATTTTGCATTTTCCAATGATCCGTCTGGGCACTTTCCTTACCCCTATAGGCCTTCATCTGGGATTTTTATCCAGAGGGATGGGGCGGCAGGCCATCAGAGCTTGTAGGTGATGATAGCAAGAGGTTGCTAGCTTTCTTACAAGGGCGGCGGTGGCATTGCATAGATCACTGGCTGCTCCCCAAACTTGTTAGAGCTGAGGATGACTCCACCCTTCTGCATCCCTCCTGTCATTTTCTCGAAAATTACACCCTGGAATCTGATGCCTTCTGCTGCACTTGCAGGGGAGATGTTTTCCTTTAGTTGCTATAAGGTCTCTCTGTTTATTGGCAGAACACCACCAGAATGTTCCTCTGTGAGATATGTTGCCGCCGAGGATACTTTTCCCACTCGCCTCTTGTTACCAAACTTTCTGGCAACATCCTCCGTGACTTGATTTCCGTCTCCTGTGAATATTAGTCTCGCCTGCAGTTGGTTTATATTAAAATCTGGGTATTATTTCTTAATGGCTCCTGTTTATCTAAGGCACTGAAGCAACACGGCTTCCACTTTTGAAAGAATTCCCGAGCAATGAATAAATTTACCAACACTAGTGTAAAAAGATGAATATTCTTAGTTCAAACCGACTAATTGTGTGTTGTTTCAGTAAAAGAGGATTCAGAGTGAATTATTTACTCTCTCATCAGAGCTATGGATGCGTGTGTCTACGTTGATTGCAGAGTAGAATAATAAAACTGGGTAAATATTTTTCTTTTATTGAGCTTACTAATTAATGATGTTAGGCTTCAGTCTTATACAGTGTACTCAGTGGCCCCGGCAAAATTAAGAAACGCGTATCTCTCTCTCTCTCTCTCTCTCTCTCTACGTGCCTCACTGTTCTTCTCCCCCCGGGCATTACACAAGTCGGTGTCGAGGTTGACAGTGTCATGCTTTAGGCAGGAATGCGTGTCAGATTCCATTGTTTATGTCAGGAGTGAGGTGACGTAAGCACATAGCGTGGGGCCAAGTGGGCAAGACGTCCCCATATCGGGTGTGAGGTACCTTGCCAATGTCGAAATAACTTAATATAGTTTTAGACACATTAAGGACCAACAGGAAATACTTTTAGACACACTTAAACGTCTTTAAGAAATATTTTTAATACATATTTTGACGCCTTAATGACATTAGGAAAGATTAAGACATCTCGCCGTTTAGAAATACTTTAATACAGATTTAAACGCAAAGACCAATAAGAAATATTTAGAGACCTTGAGATCAGTAGAAGATATTTCTAAACTCATTTAGACACCTTATGGCTATTAGGACATACTTTTAGACATATTAAGAAGAGTAGAAAATACTTTAGACTTTCAAGAAACATCTAGACACTTTTCGCTAACTAAGAAATACTTTTAAGTACTATATCGACACCTAAAAGTACCTTAATACATCATATTATTTATCATTACTTAGTGTTTACATTAGGTACTTAACCTCAATAACTCAGGTAATTTAAATATGCGTAATAAATAAATTAAATCGCAATGAAATGAATACCAGAATTTGGGCTTCCAATGAAGATTTGTTCTCGGTACGAAATTTTTTATTCCTCAAATTTAAATAATGCTTTTTTCCCTGAGGACTGATCTTATGTTCCCTAGAATACAGTAAATTAATATCTTTGAGTGCGTTTTTATCCACATTTAATTCACAGATGCCCCTAGTGACACAAGCTAGATAATATGATTTATATTTAATACATTGATAGTCATACACTTGGCACCGATATTGGAACTGGTGTTGTCTTTTACACCAACGATGAAGACGGTGGAATAAGAGTTTAGCTGCGTGATAGGAGGTGAAAATGTGTGTTAAATTGGAAGAGTTTTAGGTTAGGTTAGATTAGGTTAAGTTAGGTAATAGGTTAAGTTAGCTTAGGCTAGGTTAGATAGTAAGTTAGGTTAGGTGGGTGCGTGCGTGCGTTTTGATCAGTGCTGGAAATATAGTGTTTTTAGGAGAGGTTACTGGTTAAAGTAATGTTCAAAAGTATCGATCTTGGTGGCTGATGGAAGTGGAGGTTGGGACTGATCTTATCACGAGAGTCTGTAACAAGAGCTAGTGTCTTGGTGGCTGGGAAGGTAATATATATATTTTTTTAATTAGTGTGGAGTGTTCTGTAAATCCTCTCTCTCTCTCTCCAAGTTGTCACAATCTTTCTCGGGTCAGTTGTACGGGCCAGCTGGCAATCAAACACTGGCTAGTTTGTTTATTGTCGCGACTGATCCCTGGCACCGTGCCCACCTTGCCCACCTACCTGTGCCCCATGACGTCACGTTGCCCATGCATCTAGTGTCACCTGGTTATGTTATTGCCTTCAAGTAATATGGGGGTTGGTATATATATATCGGGTGGGGTTTAATTTGTCTTTTGTATTAATCTCAACCCAGATGGTGAGGCACTGGAGCCAATTATTTCGTATACAGGGTGACCAATTTTTTCTCTTAAGTTTAAGGTGAAACGTCAAGGTTATTGTTCATTTTTTTTTAAGCTGTACGGAATTAAAGTCATGTCTGGGGGTAATTTGTATTCGGATAAGTAAAATTTTCTCTCTCTCTCTCTCTCTCTCTCTCTCTCTCTCTCTCTCTCTCTCTCTCTCTCTCTCATTTGCATAAGGGGATTTACTTCTTTATATTTGTTTTTGACTAATTTCTGCTACCATCAGGAGGCTGGCTGTGTATGTCCTCGTAAGTCTTTAAGTTGTAAAAGTAATTTATTGCCACAAGTAACTAACGCCTGTTAACCTGTGCTGAAGAAAAAGTGGCCTTTGAAACACTTAGATAAACATTATTTCACCACTATTTATGCGGAAACATTTGAAAATTAATTCGGGTGATGATGGCGGCCCTTAACTTGTGGCAGTTTAAAGAAAATGCAATCAAAGGGAAGCGAGCAGGCAAGGGTAGGAAATTACTGAAGAAAAAACATGGCAAGAGAGAAGCCTAAAGATGAAGATATATACGAAGAGAAAAAAAAATCGAGAAGAAACACCAAAACGAGTAAAGAGGATTAATGAAGAAAGGAGATAGTAAAAGGGAAGGTTAAGAAGAAATAGGCTATAGAGAAAAAAGACAAGGTAGAAACAAAGAGGCCAAGGTAAGATGAATAAAGGAAATAAGAGGATACAAGAAGTAGATGTCTGATTCAGAACTTTTTCTCTGCTCAAATATTTGATTATAAACAGGAAGAATTAATTCACTCCACGGGGATACACACGCACGTACACACGCACGGGAGCACACACACACACACACGGGTACCAGCATAAATGAATTTTTCTCATAACAATACATCTAGGATCAGTTTGATAGACAGGGTTTATCGCGTTTCATATAATTAATCCAGATTTAATGATTTTGGTAATTAACCTAAAAAAAAGTCCATTAATAACAATAGTCGAACGAACGCTCGTATGGCACTGTTTCCATTAGCGTGTGCGTGGAAGGGAACGCCAGACGATGATAAACGTTCAAGCTGGCGCAGTTTTAATGGTTTTGGCCACTGACCTCAAAACGTCCATCCAGCCTGCACACACAGATACGCCCCACCCTCTGAGGGGAGGTTCACTTTATTCTGTATTGTTGTTCAGTAGAGAGTAAGTCACTGGTCGAGGCCCTGGCTGAAGCATATTATCTCGTCCATGTCTTTGTTTAGCAGTCATCTTATTTATGTTTGTGCCCTAGTAATCTGTCTGTCTTTTTTCACTCTTTCACAGTTATCAAACAGGGAGGTACTATGGCCAGGGAAGATGTTAGAAGCATCATGTGTTGTCTAATGGTAGACCCTGCTGCCATATGGCATCACAGGTGTTCATCTAACTGACTTTCTGCCTCATTTACACACAATTGCAGGGTCTCAATTGTTTCTCTTACCTTAACTTCATTTCTGTATTAATTTTTGGTTCAATTTATTTTCTCTTCGTTCCCACCCCCGGCCCCGATGAGGATTGGTAACCTGTGCCCAGGTGTGTTAATCCCAGTAAAAAAAAGTCTTTCAATATCTATTTTTCAATATTGCTCTTTCTTGCTTTTTTTCCCTTTATTAGTATTCCTTCTTTATCAATATCCTTCTCTCAATCATATCTTATTCATGTACTTTTCTCTCTATCAGTCTTCGTTTCGATGTTTCTTTCTACATTCATCATCTTTTCTACCTGTGTCACACTCTCTCATTTTGTATCGTATCCGTAGTGTGACGAAATAATCACAGGCAAGTCTCATGACATCCTAAAAAAATATGATTTCCAAGAGCTAAGAGATAATTCGCCAGGTGACTTCAACACAAACATATTTTACCTATATATATGAAACTCTTCTGCTTGAGTGTCATCAGCGATATAATTCTTCGTATTTTTTATAGCGTAATTGAATATATCAGGAACTACTTAAAATATTGAATTAATTACGATTACAGTGATTAGTATTAAGCCGGGTGGTTCACTGGGCAAGGGTTCATTTGTCAGGGAGATGTTTGACCCTTGACGTACGTAAACATTAGGAGAAACAGTTAATACATCATCACAAACACATTAGTCACAGGTGAACTTGAGGTGATTTATCTTTTACTCTTTCTGGTTATAAGTTTGCATTTTTTATGGCAAGGAAGTTGTATCGATTCCTATTTGCTTTCTGTTGACGAAAGATTTTACTTGAAGAAATTTTTCGATTTGCTTAGTCTCGTTTTAGCGGTGTTGGATAATAAAGTCTCTTAGTGCGGAAAAATAAACTTGAAACATTTACATATGCTGTCAAGTCGCATGTCCTTTGTGTGTTTTGATTTGTTCAGTTGTTTATTTCGTGGTGTTGATCATTAAGGTCCATCATCGCCCTCCCTGGCGAGCAACTAAAGTCATCAAAATATCGCATCAGAAGAAGAAAAACTCTCTCCACTTACCATGTCTGGGGCGACGGGTAGTGGATCACAGAAAGTGGCGGAGGATCAAAAGCCTCAGACGGTGATGACGGAGTAGAAGTCACAGAAGATGAAGTGGAATCAAAGGTGACAAGAGTGGCTGTGAGTTAAGAGGTCACTGGGGTGGCAATGGGTCAGAGGTCACAGCAGACGTAGAAGGGTTGAGATCACACGTAGCGGCGGCAACGGCTCAAAGGTCACAGGTATAACGTAAACAATAACACAGGTGAGATGAGTCCTGTGGTCCCTGGCTCCCTGGGGGTTCCACTATGTTGAGTCTCGTACTAATGAAGGGCAGTGAAGATTCTCTCCCAGCTGAGAAAGGGAGGACGCTGAATTGCGATCCACCTTGTGGAGGGAAGAGAAGGGAAGTGGAGACTGGTGAGCTGGCAGATGAAGGGAGGGAGGGGGAAGTCGTGTAGGGGAGTGTCTGGCAGAGACTAGGTGGACTGGAGCGGCCTCAAGTGGCGGCGTTGTAGGGCGAGGGAGGGGGGGGGGAGGGAGGGACGCGCCCCGGATAGTTCTGCTATACGGGGTCTACCTCGGGGCCTTGGGGGTCTTCTCTCCGCCAATGATTACGTGAACAAAAGTTACGACAGGTTACATGCTAGGGCCATTGCCTCAGCCAATCAGATTTGTATAAATAACAGTTGCCAAACGTACGTCAAAAAGTGTTATTCGTGGTTCCTAGCTGTCCATCAACACTTACGGTACACTTAGCACTTGGTAATGCACTATACGAGTGGGTAAGGAGCGTCTCGAGGCAAGAACACTTCTCTAACTCAGCTGTTAAGGAGTTTTAAAGTGTTTAATGAATTAAGTCCGTTGCGGGTTATGGTGATGGCGTGATTCAAGCTGTCATGAAATGGGGAGGGCAGTACTGTGTCACGCCACGGGCAGAAGAAAGTTAAAAAGGGTTCCATTTAGCTCCTCATTATAGTTAAGCATCTTATGAAAAATATAAAATTAAGCCAATGTGTTTCTTGGAGGGGAGGACATTATGGCATTCGAGAGAGAGAGAGAGAGAGAGAGAGAGAGAGAGTTATATTTGAAGTTTTTGTGAGCAATGTAAAGGGTACACAAGCATGTTTATCAAGCAGTATGGGAACCCAGAGAGTGACGCGAGTGAGAGGAGGAAGATGGTGGTTCATGACGGGTGAGCAGAGTGACCCTTGGCTTAGGTAGAGACGATGGCAGCTTGATTTATTGCCGGTCTCTACGTCCACTGTGGGTACACGTCCCCTGCCACCACTACCACCTCTACCACTATCACTGTTACCACCGCCAATACCACTGTCACCATTATCAATACCACGTCTACCACTATCATTGTTACCATCACCACTACTACCTCTACCCCCTATCACTGCTACCACTACCACTAGCATCTCTACCGCTAACACGGTTACCACCAACTCTACCACCTCATCCATTACCACTATATCTGTTACCACCAATACTACCACAACTACAACCATTACTACTACAACTAGCTACCACTATTACCACCAATATTATTAAACTCCCCTCCCTCTTCACCTCCTCATCCGCTTTACTGATTTCATTGATCCTTCTTCTACTTGTTATCACTTCCTTCTCTGAGTCTACTTGCCTACATCACCATCGTCTTCAAGTACCAATAATGATCTTTTATGATCCTTCTTACCGCATATTAGGCGAAATAAAATGACACTATGTACCATAAAACATAAACTGGACAGGTGTGTCATATCCTTAATTACGTGAAGGTAAAGGTGAGCAAAGGTGATCAGGTGTCTCAAGAACCCACAGTTTTATGACATTTGTATCATATTTTTTCACCAGACATTTTCACACCATTTACTCCAGAGATTTTTGCATGATATATTTCCCCCAGATACTCTTCGACTATTTTCCTCAGACACGTATACTATTTTCCCCAGCGAGTCTTACACTATTTTGCCCCCAGGAAATTGTATGTCCCCCCCTCTTACCTGTGAATAAGATTGGCCAATTTAGTTCAATTATATCACTTTGGCTTGACATCTACAATCACATGCTTCAGTGGGCCGGAGAGATGCTTGCTTACAACATCAGTCAGATGAAACATGTGACTTATGAAATCTTTGAAAATCCAGCCCTTGAGTGACAGATGATACGATCCTTCAGGGAGAGAGACGTAAGGTTAGTTATTGTATACTGTTAAAGGGAGGTTTCAGCCATATATACCCGTAAGGTTGGGAGATGTGGAGTTAATATTGCCAGGGGGGTAGTGGAGTCGGGATGAGATGAAGGAACAGTTGTTACGTAGTGAAAGAATGTATTGTGATTATCTTCAACTTCATTGTGTTATCTCCCTTTGTGTGTGTGCGTTCGTGCGCGCATTAAGTGAGCGTATATAGTTTATGTAGTTTTAGAGTCTCATCGTAATTCTGATGCCCTTTTGGAAGTAGTTTTAATGGTTTATATTCAATGATCTGGTTAAGGATATTCTTACATTTCCAGATACGAGAAAAATTTAACTTACGACCCCTTCAAAATTAAGGTCTTAGTTCAGAATTATGAATCACCTGAAGATTAAACACACCAGGGTAAAACAGGCTGGAGTATTTAATCTTCAGGTAGACCGGAAGTATCTCTTTAATTCATCTACACTCATTACCAAGAAGAGTAAAACACACTGTCTTCCCACTCTAATTACTTCATCGTTATAGGGGTCAATCACTGAGTGTAATTACCTGAGGAGCTGACGTCATGTACCTGAGAGTATTAAAAGTCGTGATGGAGTCATTACTACGCGACCAACAAACACTGTCTGTTGGTTTCATGTTGCAATATTTACGCCCCTCAAATAATTCCATTTTAAATAAATATAATTATTAAGCTTAAGGGAAGTAACGATGCGACTTTAGATATCAGGAGTGTCTGTGATGGATGTCTGTGAGTCCGTACGTCAGTAGTGTCTGTGAATATGTGAGTTTGTATATCACGGCGTCTGGGTTTGTTTTTTAGGTGTAAGCTCTTAACATACAGAAGTCACAAATACCTCATCTGAAAGGTCTTGCATCAGGGAGTGTCTTGGTGAGAAGAGAACAATATACTGTACATGTTATTTATGCAGTCTCTCTTGAGGGACTTGTATACCCAACACCTGGTTATGTACTCCATCGTGATCATTTAGTGGACGTGAATAAACGTTTTCTTCGCCTTGTTTACTGTAACGTGAATTTATAAGAGACCATGTAATGATCATACGAAGAACGTCTCTGTTTGAGTTCATTGATAGATTACGTGTCAATGTTTTGGGTTTCTATCTTCCTCAAGGATTTATGCACAAAAAGCACATCTATATATTTTTAACACCCAAACACTCCGTGGTAAAAGACCTTGACGATGGGGTATGACTATAGTGTTAACTTCGTCTTGACAGAAACATAATCTCACACGTAGGATTTAGCTTCCACTCAGCCCACGTAAAGTTGGAGATACCTTGACCTAGTGACCTTCATCTGCATCAACCCAAGACAGAGAGCGAGGCACCATCAGTATGTGTCTCGTGGATCATGTGACGCCAGACCCCCCACACACACACACACTCTCTCTCCATCACTCTTGGCAACTCTCTGAAGACTGTTGGCCGGCTGGCGATTTACTGATCTGGATATTTAGTCCCTGATTCTAAAACCTCTTTTGCGTTTTCTTTTTTATATAACCTTTAGAGCACTGGTTTCCAAACTGGGGGCCATGGCCCCCCCCAGCAAAATTTAGGGGGCCATAAGCTGAGGCTATGTACACATAAAAATCCCAAGCCCCACCACACCAGAACAGCCAGTCAGCAGCTGAGCCAGCCAGAGATATGGATTGGGAGAGGGGGACCATGGATAAGGATCATATATGGAAAGTGGGTAATGATCAGAAAAAGTTTGGGAACCACTGCTTTAGAGACATATTATATCATCTATGTGTAATTCTGATGCCATTTTAGATGTTACATTTATCATTTCCCTTATACAAATCAGTCAGATACGTTCAGACATCTTCAATTACTAGAATTAATTAACTTGTATTTTTTTTGGAGAATTGGAGTCTTGGGTCCTTATTCGTTACGGTTTGTTAAGGACTATTATTAAGCATCTGGTTATGCTATAGTCTCAGTGATGACGTCATAATAGTTGTGACGGCATGGGGGCTATCGGTGTCATACTGTAAATGTGTAAGTCAAGTTGGTAAGTCTTTCCCTCCCCCTTCATCATGGTTAAGATGATTACATGAGAGAGAGAGAAAGAGAGAGTTAACACAACTTTATCTACCCACTATCCTTAGTAGCAAATACTGATGTCGTTCCCGCATACCCGTGGGTTTTGATTTTTTAGGGGCCTGGTGATAAGTTTATATGATGGCGACCGAATCATGGGGTTTGCCACGCCTCGGCCCACCACTGATCTACTGACGGGGGAGTGACAGCGGTCAAAGGATGTCGTGTAATATTTTTGGCTTATCGACTAATGTATCACCAAGTCGTATGTGTGTGTCTGTCTGTTAATACTTATACCCCCACACACACACATTCATTTGTTTTGAGATTATTGGTTACTAAATATACTAAATACTTGTTTTATCATTTAGAAACGATATTTATATATATATATATATATATATATATATATATATATATATATATATATATATATATATATATATATATATATATATATCTTCAGGTGAGTACAGAGTACCTGGATCACGCGCACCTACAGTGATTTACTTGCATATATATATATATATATATATATATACCTCATAGACGTTTTAAATATTTATCTTTAACTTTAGAAATGTTCTTTACTCTTAACATCCCCCAACACTCGTTCAGTAAGAGAAAAATACTGCCTCAGTTCCACTTGAGTCTATGCACTTTAAGAGTCACTTGACCCCGGCCATTTACCGTTGATAAGTTCCTACTTTAGAATACCACCCCGCCTTGCACTAAAAATACCACTTGTTCCACTTTTAACATTCACCAAGTGGTTTACATGTGTCCAGGTGTGTTTGTCGGTGTATTTATATATGTGTACCGTCGCTTTTTGATGTCTGAAGAGAGCATGGCTGTCTTTGGTGAGGTTTGTGTTATTGATGCTTCGAAGATGGATACACCCACACACACACACATACGGTTCGTATTACCACCCGAGATCCCTCGTCCGCAAAAAGAACAGCCCAATCCCAACCATTGTAAAAATTATAAACAACACGTAGTCAACCAGTGTGTTTACTCCGAGTTAATTTTACATTTTTGCACTGTCACTATGTTGAAATGCCCTGTAGTATGACCTTCTCCCCACCAAGTTATTATATATCATATTTGTCACATATGTTACTTGTTTATTATTTGTCAATCAACAAACCCATTTCCCAATTATGCAACTATATATTTTCAGCCTTTCGGCTGCAATGCTCTTTCAATAAACCGTTAATTAGT